TGTTGTGATTCCTGCATTTCAAGGGGGTGGAATAGATGACTCTTGGGATTCCTTCCAGTTCTACAATTCTATCATTCTAGGATTTATTTATTGTTGTAAATAAATTTGAGATGATGATGATGATGATTATAGTCGGAGCCCCTGTCTGTTGACCATGCTTGATGGTGCTGAGGTTTCCCACATCTACACCATGTTTATAGATGGGGACCAAGAACTGGAAGAATGCCCAGTTGGTCAATTGACCATGGTCTTGGCCAAAGTCATGCTTCCAGGCCATCTTTCATCACCCTGGTGCCTGCCTTCCAAGTGCTACTGGACCTCAACACCTATCATTTCTGACCATTAGCCACACTGGCTAGGGCTAATGTGAGTCCAGCAATGTCCAGGGTGAACAAATCTTCTCCAGACTCATCTCACTTACCTTGCCACCAAACATTCCAATGAAGTTGTCGGCCAGTCCACTTAGCTTACAACTAAGTAGTTGTACCTATGTAGCTCCTTAAGGGAAAAGGAAAACAATCGAGGGGGAAAGGCCGGCAAAACTCTGGGAAATAATTAATTTCCCAGAGAAGTTGAGACTGGTGCATTTGAGAGCCCAGCAAAACACAGAAGGTTTGAGCATCAGCTAGCGCCGGTGTCTCCGAAAACTCAGCAAGCAACAGGAGATCAAGAACCCCTTGATATTTATTTATCTGGTGTTTTCTTTCAGATCTTGCAATATGACAACACATGTCAGTGTCAGTCGAGGTCCTGCTGGCAACACCTTGAAAACTATGTGGAGGTACAGAAAATAAACAGCGCCGGCTGTGATTTCAGTGATAAAATACCAATGTAAGGGAAGCCTCTTGGGATCCATAATCTCAAATTGTCACGGGATAAGAATTGTCTGTCTTTTTGATAAAAGATGTCAAGTTTCCCCTTCTGGGTTTTAAAGAGAAAGAAGCACTTTTTTCTTCTTATTATTATTTTTAAAAGCTGGCTGTATACCAACCAAGTCTGCAGAAGGGATTTGCTTTGTGGTGTGACTGTTTCTGCTTCAGCCCATCTTTTCCTGTAGACTTTGATATCACAATCCTATTTGATAGTCCAATCCCCACATTTTATTTTTTGTTCAGCACATTTAATTTTACCAGCATGGACTAAGGGTGACAGATCTTAATTACTGTATACTTCAAAAGGCATGAGATGAGCTTTTATTTTATGATAACAAAAACAAACCTGCATTTGTAATTAAACAAACAACCAATTAATTAAGTTGGATGGAAGATTGATTTTCTTTGTTGTTTGTTTTATGGATTACACTGGGCAACAATTTTTTTACTTTTTGAATGTTGTCTAGATTTCTACAACTGATTTAGGGTATTTTTGCACTGCTGAATCAGGAAATGGCATCCGTTTCTCTCCATCAGGTCAGGTTTACTGTAAACTGAATGGTGGGCATTGATAAAGGTAAGTACACATAAATTGCATGTTGCTTCACCATTTTTCAAACTTCAGGGCTTGAACTTCCATTTCTTGGAACTCCTGGAATGCTCAGTGGCAGGGAGGTCTCTCTTCAGAGTCCAACAGTAGTCAGCCATCATGACTGCGTCCCAGCGACCCTGATACCTGGTCTCCATCTCTTTCATGTCCTGATGGAATCTCTCCCCCTGCTCGTCACTCATTGAACCCAGGTTCTCAGGAAACCGGTCCATTTTTGAAAATAGGTAATGCATCTTGACGCTCATGTTGCAGCCCAGGTTTCTGAAAGCAGTCAGCATCTTGTTGACAAGTTCTGCATAGTTTCTGGCCTTATTGTTGCCAAGAAAGTTCTTCACTACCAGAACAAATGCCTTCCACGCTTCCAGTTCCACTTCATTCATTGAGTTTCCGAACTCTGGATCTCTGATGAGCTGACGGATCTGAGGACCATCAAAGATGCCACCTTTCAACTTCTCCATGGTCAATCCTGGAAAAGCCTGGCACAAGTAAGTGAAGCAGTAACCATCCTTGTCCAGAGCCTTGGTGAACTGCTTGATTAAGCCGAGCTTGATGTGCAGCGGTGGGAAGAGTATTCTGTCTCTGTCCACCAAAGGGCCGTTGATGACGTTCCTTTTTTTGCAAGGCACCAATTCCTCCCGCACAGGCCAGTCCTTCTTCGTGTAGTGCTGAGCACGGTCCCTACTATCCCACATGCACAGAAAACATGGGTACTTGGTGAAGCCAAACTGTTGTCCCAATAAGAAGTTCACCATCTTCAGGTCAACACAAATAAACAACTTATGCTGATCATAACCAATTTTCTCCAGCACATACTTCACCGCTTCATAGTTCGCCTTCAGTGTACTCGAGTGAGCCAGGGGTATAGAGGCAAACTGGTTGCCGTTGTGTAGCAGAACACATTTCAGTGATCGCTTGCTGCTGTCAATGAACAGTCTCCAATCTTTGGGTTCGTACTGTGGCACTCCAAGCTTGAGCAGAAGCGGTGCAATATCTGCACAGTACACCAAGTCCTTCTCTTCCAAGAAAAAACGGAGGTACTCTTGATGCCTGTTGCGGAAGAAGCTGATGCGAGCACTGTCAGAGAGGAGGTTTTTTCCCTTCAATCTGGATGCCAACAGTTTGGCAGAGTCCTTTGACAAGCTGAGGTCACGAACTAGATCATTCAACTCCTTTTGGGAAAATGGATGTGGAGCATCATCTTCAAGAACCACTTCTTTTTCTTCATGTCCTTCAACACTGGAGGCATCTTCGTCACTAATGTCAGGAAGTTCTCCGAAAATAGGCACTGGAATTTCATCACAATGAGCTACAGGACGACGTGCTGATTGAAGATCAGGATACTTGAGGCTGCTCCGGTTCTTTCTGTTGATCCCAGTCACATCAACAGCGCACCAAATTATGGAAGATTTCGAGGTTTTATGACTTCAAACTGTTCCCTTTTCGACATAATCACCCAGAACTATCGGACCTGAATACTTCTTGTCATTAAAATAATCATTTCCAATCAAAACAATTATTCGACATGGCATTTTACCCCCACCAACTTCTTCTAAAATGCTCCACACAAGCGTACATGTGAACAAAAACGTAAAAAAACGACATGTGGCCATAGCTCAGAAACTTGACCTGATTGAGCAAAACCAATGTGATTTTTGGATTCAGTGCATCAGATTCATCCTAAATCAACTGAAAAAACGCAGACAACAAATTTGTTGTTGACCAGTGTTATTATTACTATTTCTTAAGAGCGCATTAAGGTTTGATTCTGCAATGCTTTTTTAAAAAAACCAAATCCTCCTGGAACCAGTGGCCATTTTAGAATATTTCAAATAACTCACCTATTTCTGGATGTCTGAAATATTTTTTAATTTGCTGTGACACTATGTAGGCTTTATGGGAGAATAAGGATCCTGTATAAATGTATGGTGGCTGTTACTGCCCTTTGTTGACAGGGTAAGTTTATGCATGTTTCTTCAAAGTATGTCCCACTTCGTTCAGTGGGGCTTGCTCCCATGTTAAGTGTTACATTATTTTGGTGAATATTTTCTTCTGCGTAAGTTAATAGGTGTAGGATTGGGCTGTTAGTTTTGAACACTGCAATTCTGTGAAATCATCAAGAGTGGAGAGATTTGCATGATATTGGGAATTATTCAAGGAGTGTCAGGAGACAGATGGGCAAATATGTCAATTTCAGTTCCTCATTTTCCTACTCTAGATTTCCACATCACTTTGCTTTTTAAAAATCATCATGAAAATTCATTAGTGTTTTGATGCAAATTTCTCCCAAAAAAATACACTGTATGGGATTTCTCCAAAGTACACATTGTTTGCATTTCAATTTTCCCTAATGTGTTGCATTCTTGTATGTTGCTTTCAGAAATAGATGTGTTTATATGCACATGTTGTGCTAGAATATGCTTTTGGGTACACATTACTTGGCTGGAGAACTGCATTACAAAATTCAGAGAAGGACGCCCAATATTGTTTTCTTTTCTTTTCTAAAGTACATTATGATCTGTAAAAGCTACTGAATAAATTGCTCTGCGACTCTCCAGGCATTCCAGCATGGTGTTGTCTTCGCTCATGTTCTCACCACCTACACAGGGATGGATATGCCAAGATATTTAGGTTGGCTTCCTTCAAAAGAGTGGGAAAAATGGGCTCAGCCCTCTGTCGGTGCTTCAGATGGGGCTGCTGTTCCTGGCAAGGGGGGAAAAACTGCTGGCATAGGACCTGCTTTTGCTTCTCATATGAAGCCCTGGCACTTATCTCAAAGCTGTTGATTACTTGGAAGGGGAGGGGCAAGGTGGTGGGAAGGGAGGCGTGTTGCAATCACAATGTGTCCCAAATTGACAAAGTGCACTGTGGAACTTTGGAATTCGCTCCAACAAGAAGCAGTGATGGCCGCCAACTTGGATGGCTTCAGAAGCAGATTAGACCAATTCATGAAGAACATAAAAACATCAGGAGAGTCTGCTGGGTTAGGCCAGTGCGCCATCTAGTCGAGAATCTTGTTCTCCTAGGGGCCAACCTGTTGCCTGTGGGAACCCCACAAGCAGGACCTGAACACAAGAGCACTCTCCCACTGTCCTGTGGTTTCCAGCAACTGGTATTCGGAAGCATTATTGCCACCAAACATGGAGGCAGGGCATACATGGGCTAGGACCCACTAATAGAGCTATCCTCCCTCCATGGACTGGTATACTCCTCTTTTAAACCCATCCAGGTTGGTGGTCATCACTGCCTTCTGTTTATGTGCTGTGTGAAGAAGCACTTTTATCTGTCCTGATTCTGTGTCCAAGTGAAATACAGTGTGATGTCATTCTTATATTTTTATTATATGCACACACAGAGAGAGGGGGAGGGAGATGTGGTAGAGATATCAAAATTTTATTGTGTATCATTTTTACCCCTCTAAGAGTCACGGAGGATCCTGGGAACTGCAGTCATATAATTGAAGAGTTGGAAAGGACCATAAGGGTCATCTAGTCCAACTACTTGCAATGCAGGAATCTTTTTGCCCAACATAGAGCTTAAACCCATGACCCTGAGATTAAGAGTCTCATGCTCTATTGACTGAACTATCCCAGAAAGCTCCACGAGGTGCTAAGGGTGCTGGGAACTGTATCTCTGTGTGGTCAGCACCCTTAACTAATGTGAGTTCCCATGATTTTGCAGGGAGGCCATGACCATTAAAATGCTATAAGAGTGCTTTAAATATCTTGGTTGGATGTGTCCTGATCCCTTCAGCAAATAGACCATTCAGTGGTGCCCATTTGGTTAAGCCAGAGCCTGAGCACTTTGTGGGTTTTCGTCTGTGCTTCGGAACACTTTTCTTGTTTCTGTAGCATTGTTTGCAGAGTACATCAGACCTGGAGAACATGGAATGCAGTGGCCCATCCCTGCTTATGACAAGTAGAGGATAAATTAATGTTATTGCCCGGTTGATGCATATGTGGGTACAGAATATTCTTCTTTTAATTGAGCTGGCTCTCTCTGTAATTGAAAAGCACAGCTAACACAGAGGCAAGACTCATCACAACAGCTTGTCTCCTGTCACAACCCTCTAGTCAAAGAACGTGAAGAACTCAAACAAAAATGGGAGACTCAGTGACATGGAGGAAAAGCCGGTTGATGCTGTCTGTGTGTGTGTGTTTGTGTGTGTGTATAATGTTGAAGTCATAGCTGTCAACTTTTCCCTCTTCTTGCAAGGAATCCTATTCAGAATAAGGGAATTTCCCTTAAAAAAAAGGGGAAACGTTGACAGCTATGTTTGAAGTACAGCTAATGCCTGTGAAAATATGATCCCTGTAAAGTTGCCACCATATAAATGTTCTTTCTGCAAGTCAGCTTACAGATGAAGGAGAAGGAGAAGTGCTGGATCACCACTGGTGCATAATTGGTCAATTGATGTTAGATGCTGATAAATATTGCATTTATTTGTCACCTTAACCCCCAAGGAGCTCAAGGGTAGCTTACATTGTTTTCCTCTTCCTCAATGAATCCCCACAACAGGTGTTTAAGCATGTGTGCAAACCAAGTTTATTCTCTGCAAAAAATAATCATTGGTCAATGTGAGATAGTAAGCCATTTCAGTTCTTGCATTTCAATGCTATTTGGTCTTAATTCCAACATTTCAACCTGCTTCACTCCTTTCAGTCACAACAAGAGCTCAGCTGGGTGGGATCAAAAGATACGCTCTAGCCTAGCAACATGCTTCCAACAGCAGACCGTCAGATGACTCCAGGAAATCAACAAGCAAAATATGAAGTCAACACCACCATGGTTTCTCACCAGTGGCCCACATCAAGTGGCATACCTCCTAGGAACATTTTGGCAGGATGTGGCTCTCTAGCTGTTGCTGGACTACAACTCCCATAACCATGACCATTGGCCACGCTGGCTGGTGGGAGTTGGAGTCAAACAACATCCAGAGAACCACAGCTTTTCCATCCTGACAAGTCAGGATCGTGCATTTTTGCCATTCTGTATCATAGCTAGTTGCCTCCTCTCTTCCCTGAATTAGTCTATAATCTCTTGAATCTCACAATCATGCCCATTGTGAATGATCTCAAGCCTTTTTTTTTTTTTGTAATTCTCTGCACCCTTTTGGCTCTGAGAAAAGGTCAAGTGGCCACTTCAGCTGAGTTGGTGTCTTTGATCCCCCTGCTCTCTTCCGAGCACTGCACTCCTTAGAAGTAGTTTCAGCACCTGATTTATTAAGAGGCGGGTGGGGCCAGGCAAGTCTGTCGCAATCCCCACGAAGATGATAATAAATCTGATTCTCATATCACAGGTGGTGCTGATGTTTTTGCTGGATTATGCTGAAGTTAGCAAATCAAACACAAATGTTTCTACCTTTCTTTTTAAAAAACACAATAATTTGTTTTTGCGTGATGGGTGCTAGCAAACCAGGAGCGTGGTGGAGAACAGGTTTTGCAACACTTTTTTTTTTTTATAAAAAACACACACACTTCCATACTAATAAATTTTATTTTAATAAAAGAGGGGTCAAAGAAGCAATAGTCCAGCTATTTTTATGCCATGCTGTCTGGGTTCAGTTTTTTGTTAGCCCTTTAAAACACTGTCAGAGGCACAGATGTTTCCTTATTGGCAAAAAAAAGTAGTTACTTAGCTACTTAAGTAGTATTTTTAACCTGCTCTTCAGAGGGGGGGAAAGGCTGTCAGAGCAGCTTACAGAGATCATTAGTATAACAGTTCTTACCATAAGGCCTACAGTCTAAAAGACGCAACACAAAAGGAAAAGGAAATGAGAGGGATGAGGTAAAAAGCAATCTCTGGAACTTGAGTATGGTTCAAAGTTTTTGTGAGTTTTCTTTTCAGGAAGAGAGGTGGGGAGCAAGTTCCCTGCAGCATCTCCTTCTCTGGGTAACTGACAAAGCCCAGTTGGTCTCCACCTTGCCATGATATTCTTCCCAGAAGGCAAGGGAACAGCTTTCTGGTGTGGCCTTTGGTACCTTGGCTGATGGCTAGGAAAATTCCATGCCATTAGGGCTCCCATACACCTTCTAACATTTGGGCAAAGAAAATCAGGACAGGGTGGCTGGAGGAGGGAAGAGGCAGCGGAAGCAATGGCAGGGGGGCTGCTTTGCTGGTGGCAGGACCCAGCAACGGGGAGCAGTGGCAACACCACTTGCCCACCACCTGACCCCACTTTGTCTTACCTATTAACTCTATTATAGTATAGAGTTCTCTTAATCAGGCACTTTCTATGATAAAGACAGAATCCATGGTAGTGGCTGTCCTGGCAAAATAGCGACAATTGGAGTGAAGAAGGTATTGCGTGAAGAAGGTCTCAGGTTCAATCTCTAGGTTGGATTGAGAGAAACACCTGCCTGAATGAAAACCTGGAGAGTTGCTGCCAATCAGTGTAGACAATACTGAGTAAGATGGACCAATGGTCTGACTCAGTATAAGGCAGCTTTCTATGTTCCTATTCTAATGCAATGCTGCACATTAAGTGAAAGGGCCGTAGCTCAGTGGTAGAGCATTTGTTCTGAATGCAAAAGGTCTCAGGTTCAATCCTCGGCATCTCCACTTAGGGTTGGGAGAAACCTAAGTCTCTTGGACATGGAGAGCTGCTCTCAGTGTCAGCAGAATGCCCTTCCTTGGAACAAGGAAGCTTGAGAGAGCAGGCAGGGAAAGCTAGAGGATGGAAATAAACTTTGGAAACTGAGGTTCTCATATAACATATAGTATATATTAGGCTTACAATTTACACAGGGGGTGGTTTACATTCTGTGGATCACTCCTAAAGTCAAACTCATGTATAGTCAAGACCTCTTGGGTTCAGTGGCAGGTGGGGTTGTCAAAGTCATTTTCCCCAGAACCCCACGCCCTTTTAATTTTATTTTTAAAATATTGTCACATGTGTAAAGCTGACTGTGCATACGTTAAATGCACACAAGTTGTATGTAAAAGGCAAGAGTCTGGTTAAAGGGAATGTTGACTGGAGAATGCATTCAAAGCTCCAGTGTCCTTACCTGGGAGTAAGCCACAATGAAGTCAATGGGGTTTACTTTTGAGTAAACATATATTGGATTGCACTAATTTTCTAATCCTCTTTTCCCACAGTCTAAGCTATTCTTGCAAACACCTTAACTCTGTGCCCATCTAAGTCAACTCCACTCCACCCACCTGTTAGGCAAGATTTTGCAAGTGCAGTATCAATGTCACCTCCCTACAGTTATCTTCCTTTGCTCCTGTTACACTTTCTCCTCTTCTTTGCACTGATAGCTACACCACTGAAAGTGACCTCTTTCGTTTCCAGACAGATCTGCTTTTATGTCTTTCTATCCCCATCTCATTGTTCTTCAAGCTCCCCTCCCGCTTTACGCATACTTTGCCAACATTTCTCCAGCGGATATTGCGTGCATTTCTCTAGTTCGTGGATGGCTAACCGGTGGCACTGAAGGTTTTTATTATTTATTTCATAGAATTTATGTACTGCTCAATTGCAAGAAGAAGAAGCCTCAAAGCAGCTTACAGAAAGCAATTACAAGATTCAGAAAATTAAAACCAGCTGTAAACTAAAAACACATCAGCATTGTGAGATGTTTGGAATATATTCTAGATATATTCTAGATATCTGTAAAAGCTACTGAATAAATTGTTCTGCAACTCTACAGGCATTCCAGCATGGTGTTGTCTTCGCTCAGCAGTGGTTAGGGATGATGAGAGTTTTAGTCCCACAACTTCTGCACAGCCACAGGTTAGCCACCTCTATTCTTGGCTGACTCAGCTCCATGCATGCCTGTTCATCAGTTGAGAACAGCAGCACCAAGTGGTGACCTGCGTATGCCAATGGTGCATGAATGGGGTCGTCGGTGCAATTCCACATCACTTTATATGTAAACCATTTTAGAGGAGATGCTTCACACAAGTCTGGGTCAAATGTTGAAGCATGGTGGTGAGGAATGAGGGCATCAGCATTTCCCAATTATTGGGAGACAATAATTGTCTGAAAGGGGGGATAAAAAGTGGGAGGGAAGCTAATAAATAAAACAATAGGAGAAATGTTTGGGGTTTTTTTTAAGCAGTGTACTGACACAGAAGTGTGACAACATTCTCCTTAGAACACGGTTATGATTATGATTAAATTTATTACCCTCCTTCACTGGCAAGTCCCAGGATGGGTTACAGCAAATTAAAATTTAGAATTAAAAAGAATGGATAGTCACAGCTGCCTCTGTGTGCAGCTGAATGTAGTGGTAAAAGCCCCAACTTTGTTTTAATGTATGGTGGCCCCAGAGATCCTCTCAAAACTTGAAGTTGAGATCTCAGTATTCAAAAGAAATAAAATGGTAAATAATCCCGCTACACACTTTCTTGATGCTCTCCAATTTTGTAGTCTTTATTTTTTAGCTGGTGAGTTTAACCTGCTTTCCTTGACTCTTTCAAGATTGGCAGCTGATTTGCATTTTAGAAATCTCATAAACAGCACCATCAGTGGTATTCATCCCATATTTGGAAAGAAAATATGTCATCAGCGAGTGACTGAGTAGAAAAGTTCTGGTCTGTGGACAATAGAGTGAATGGAACAGGTGATCTGGTTTACCTAGAACAGGATTGTCAACATGGTGCCCTTCAGGTGTGGACTACAACTCCTATCATCCCCAGCCAGTGTGGCCACTGAAGTGGGATTATGGGAGTTGTAGTCCAGCAGCATATGGAGGGCACCCCCTTGGCTACCGCTGGGCTAGAGCCCTAATCTATAGTGTCATTGACATCTATATTAATACAGGCCTAGAACATGGTATCTGCTTCCTCACTCTTTTCTGGTTGATTGGTTTGTGGCAATAAGGAAAGGCAAAGCCATGTTTGAAACATACAAGAAACTGACGTGCTGAAATTTAACAGCCTTCCCCAGGTCTCAGTTGCTGTTTGTGCAAATTAGTATCCAGGCCACTTTACAAGTGTATATTCTTTGCCCAACAGATGCTATTCCTGTCTCTGGTGTAAATAACATAATGAGACAAAAAGTATGGCATGGTGTAAGCCATTTCATAACAAAAAGAGGGGGTGGGGAGCCACCGGGTGAAGAAATAATTAAATCAACCTGTTTGAAACAATGCTGGAGACTTGAGCGATATACCATTACACGTTCCTGGGAAGAAGAAGAAGACGAGGAGGAGAAGAAGAAGAAGTGGGGAGGGGAAACCACAGCCAAGGAAGTGGAGAATGTTTAGCTGCCAACGTCAGAAGCAAGGGGATAACATTACTCGCTCAGTAGCTTTGACTTTGGCACCAACTTGAGTGTCACAGTATTAAAACAAAAAAATGTTGCAGCTAACATAACATTGCAGACAAAGAACAGATGATGCAGCTCTTCTGCCATCCATCATGAGCGGCGTTTCCAACTCCGGGGCTTCTACCGGCGCTGACATTTCAGACAAAGTATGTGTCAACCATATTAAATAATATACCAAGCTGCGGGTTATTAAGTGTGGGGTAACTTGACCACAGCAATTAAAGAGAGATTAAAGTATAAGGATCAACGGGCTGTGTGGCGTGCACCACTTTCCCCAGCAACATGTGGGAGCCTTGAATATTTCAAAGTGTAAAAGCCACATCAGAAAGCAAAAGATTAGTCAGTCAAAATCTATTTATTTTTCCCTCCCCTATTCTGCCTACCATCTCCATGCAGCAGACACTCTCAAATACTACTTGGTCATTATCATTGTTCTGGTTATTATGCATATACATAAAAAGGCAACTAAGACTGCAGTCTTAGAGACACATACCTGAGAGTGCCGTTGAACTGAATGTGGCTTACTTCCATGTAAACACATGGAAGAGAGTGGTGGGCAAATCTTTCGGTTTCCATTTCTCTCCGTTTTCCCCTGTTCCATTCTTAAGTTCAGTTCTCCACATCACTGTGATTTAAAAATGAAGCCTTGTGAAAATTCATCAGTCTTTTTGTGTGAATTTCCTCTAATATACGTGTGTTTGCAAAGCAATGTCCCTGAATAAAATTCATTTTGGAATGTTCTTTCCCCTAATGTGTGCATTCTTATGCACGCTTGACCCCCAAATGTGTTCATTTGCAGACATTGTTTGGCTGGAACAGTCAGAGACAAGTGTGTTGTGAAAGGTGGTGGTTTGCAGATTGTTTAAGAAAGTGTGGATTTGGCAATTTTACCCTTAAACCAATAGCTGCTAGCCACAATAGCCGTGCTCTACCTCCACGGTTGGCTCTTCTTAAGCTCTTAAAAGTGAACTGTAAAAAAAATCTCCTCCATCCTTAACCTAAGAACATGAGAAGAGCCTGTTGGATGAGGTCAGTGGACCATCTAGTCCTGTATCCTGTTCCTCATTGGCCAGAAACCTGCAACCAGGAGCTGAGCACAAGAGACCTCCTGGAGTTTCAAGAAACTGGTATTCAAAAGCATTGTTCCCTCTGACTGTGCATAGCTATCATGGCTAGTAGCCTTTGACAGCCCTCTCCACGAATTTGTCCAGTCCTTCTTTAAAGCCATCCAAGTTGGTGGCCATCACTGCCTCCTGTGGGAGCTCATTCCATAGTCTAACTATGTGCTCCATGAAGAAGTCCATCTTCCAACATTCAGTCCTGTTAGATGGATGTTCTAGTGTTATGAGAGAGAGAAACCTTTTCTCCATCCACTTTCTCCATATCATGCATAGATGTTTCTCCATTCCCACAATGGCCTTCATTGACAGTGTCCCTGTATGTTGCTGTCCTGTTCGTTCCAACTGCAGCTCTTCATCTTCTCTCGGTAATTTTATTGGGCAGAAGGGGAGTTAGGGCCCTTCACGGCTTTTGTTCGAAGCGGTTGTAATGGGATGGGGTAGATTAATACATCACCTCTAGAGCAAGACAATAAGAGTCCCAGCATGTGACATATTTCATTTTTCCTCTCACTTTATTTTATTTATTTTTTAACAACCAAGCTGTAAACTCCTCAATAATGAGATTTGTAATGGGAAATGCTGAGTCTCCTTTTACTCCAGCGGCCTGAACTTGCTGCTATAATAAGCTATTTTTATCGTTTAAGTGATTACACCTTAGAAAATGACTGATGGTGACATAACTCCTGGGTTTAATGAGAGGAAGTCTTAAATGGCTCAAACTGATATTATAGCTGTTTAAACAGATGAAACAACAACAAAAAATATTATTATTATGAGTGGGAGGGAGAATGTGTGTCGGGTGAAGGGCAGAATGCTCTGCAAATAAAATTATTATATACTGATAGTTTACAGCTAGCCATAACAGCAGATGAGACCATATATTACTGTTCTTTGAAAAACACGGTGGTTAACCTCTAAATCTTAATTATAAAATCAATGAATGCATTCATAGAAATGAGTGCTAAATAAATACACCCCAGCTAAAAGCCAAGCAGCACATTTAGCTACCATTTCAAGAAAAATGATTTCTCTGCCTCACTTGAAACCTGGTACACATTTTGGAACAGGGGTGATGAGCCTTTGCCCTCCAGATATGGGCTTTGGCTACATTCACATGACAGTTTATCCTGTTTTACCAACATTCCCCTGTTAATTTTCACATTATA